TATGGTCACTTCTAGAATTAACATTAGATATCTCAAAACATTCCTATCACTAATAAACTGATTTTAAGTTCATTTTGCTTTTTAATTGCTAACAATCTGCTCCCAAAGCATAGGAGCATTTATAACCATCCCTTTTAATTTTGATTGTATGTCTTGACCATGGAATACACCAAACATGGCCTAAGTAACTTGGAAATAACATAACAGTATTATGCCAAGCAGGAAAAGCAGTTCTAAATCCATATCTGACATGCTATTGAAAGGATGATGTGACCAATCAGGACCATCAGTTGGATGAGGGACTGTCTGGGTCAGCCATGTCTTCAATCCCATAGTACATATCAGCCCCATATACCGAACCCGTATTAGAGTTTTGCCCAATCATTAACAGCCATACATTACCATTTCAATAGAGTAGTTGTCTGTAAAAGATTGTCTATTTTGAATACAGGGCAAGGTCTACTGTGCCAAAATTTTTCCTATGAATAAAGGATGGGAAGGAATATGGAGACAAGTTTTGAGCCTCAAACTTCATAAGTTTCCATGTGAATAGATGACCTTGCCATTTGAGGCATTCACTAGTGCTGTAACAGTATCCATTTGTACAAAATTCAAATCGAAACATAATGCAATTAAGTGAACTGAATTTGACTCATTTATAATTGGATCAAATACTATCTTACACACCTTGAACCAATATGCATCTAGTAGTAAAATTGGTTTGGATGTTGTAAGTTTACTAAAACGTCATAGGTTAAAGTCTCATACAAGTAATTTTTAAGTCATCTTATTCATCATATAGAATATCAAAGTCATTTCTAGTTCAAATTATTACTATATATAATGTATTGATTATTTTAATTTAATTTATTATTGGTATACAATGTCTGAATCCAATCTGAGTCTGATTTGAATCCAAAATTTGAATCTGAATGATGTAATATCTAGTAACAACATCTGTTCTGTTTGCTGCCCTACCATTCACTGCATGGGGAAAGTCATTCCCGTACCCACCTTCTATTAGTTCTTTTGCCAGGAAAATTTGCCTACAAACAATTCTGGGAACAAAGCAAGGGGTTTTAAGATTAAAATTGACCATTAGCAGAGGCCGGACAGAGGGCCATATGGGGCCATTTTGAACCCCAAACCAAAACATTCCATGTGGAAAATCCTTAGCTGTTCTGTTGTCTTCACTAGATAACCCGACTAGTAGAATAGACACCCTTCCCTATATATACACATATGATCAACAACCAAGATAAAACCATATTAGTTGGAGTGGTTTGATTGGTTGGCAAAGGTAACAAGCTTCTAGTATTTTCATGTATTTTTTTTGCAAAATTATTGTAATTTCTGTAAAATTTCAGGTATTTTCATGCTTTTTTTGGTATTTTCATGTATAATTGTCTATGGCTTTTAGGCATTTGTCACTTATCAAGATAATATATATTGGGTTTGTATTTTGCATCATGCCATTTAGATATTACCATGAGAAAAGGCAAAAATTGTGCTAGGCATCCTATGAGCACTCCTACTAGGGGTAGTAATCAATCCCAACCGAGCTCTAGCCATCGAATTGAGTCCCAATCAGCTGGCTCTCGAGATTCTTCAAGTGATAGTGGTGTAGTAGGTATATATATTTATATTCATGCTTTTTTTATATATATTTTATGCTTGTTTTTCCTAATTTTAAATAAATGTATTTTTCATGTTGTTATTTCTTTTACTTTTACTAGACAATAATACCTCACATAAAAGAATTCGAGGACCTACAAGGTGTTTGGATGTGTGGACATTGTTTGAAGGAAAACAAATTCCTATTGAATCAAACAAATATACACAAGTTATTGGAGATACAAGTCAGAAATTGATTACCTTTATGGGCACGATGACAAGAAATGGAAGTTTAGCACCAATAACATATAATGATTGGAGATCCATGCCTAAGGACAAAAAGGAAGAAATATGGAAAATTATCAAGGTATGCTAATTTAAAAGCTACAATCAAGTTATAAGTATTTTTTATGAATATTTTGACACATGCAATTAATTAATAAATACATATGATGCAGAAGTTTGATGTCGATGACAGTAGTAAATTTTGGGCAATAAAATCTAGTGTGTCTTGTGTCTCTGATATAATTATTCAAAAGATTGTTGCAGCACTGATAGTTGAAAAAGTTACARCAGCTTGGGTATCCATTCACCCAAGAAGATATAATACAACAATGTCCCAATAATAAAATTACAATACAGCCCAAAATAGTTTATATTTTGGTTAAATTTGCAATGTTAAAAGCTTATATTCACCAACTTTTTAATTTTATGATCAAGCTATTGCTCCTAGCCCTGACTGTGGCCTTATTCCTAAGCTTCTAGCTCTATATTTGTTGCAAAGGCCTGCCCACAAGTCAATGTCAAGATAGATATTGTTAGAAGTGGCCTTGAATGCCCAAGCATAAGTATCACCTCCATTGCTGCTGTAGAGTGCTTGCAGAGGGAGGTCCCCTGAGAAAGGAGGTACTGAGACCCTCAAAACTTCATCCTGAGCACAGGTGATGTTATTTGTCGTGTTCAGGGCTGAAGCTAGCAAGAAATTCCCCTGTATATTTCATGGTTATTGATCCGTTTGGCCTAGACATTTTGTTGATATCCAGAGATTGAGGGTGTATTCTTCATATTCATACTTTCATATGCCAAAAATATTGATAATTGTTTATTTTTAGATATATTATTTTTTCTGAAAGGAAGTGATATAGGAGCTAACATGTCAGATCTGAGATTTTCTAAATATATATTGATGGGTAGTGGGATTATTTCTGTAAATGTTTTGAAGTTTTTTTTCGAGTCATTAATAGTTTTCCTAACTGGTTCAGAGTTATTTTAGTCAGTCTGAATTCTTATATTTTTTTGGGGGTAAACAGTCAGTCAGAGTTATGTTAGTAGGTCATGATCATGGTCACAATTCAAGCTGGATTTGTTTTATTCCTAGTCCTAAGCCAACAAGGATTTGTCTTAAGTCAAAGCCCCAGTCCTTAGCCAACTAGGATTGGTTCTATTCCTAGTTAGTGCCTTAGTAGCATTTCTTAGTTGATTTTGGAGTAGGAAAATAAGGGAGAAGGACTGGCCAACCTTCCTATCTTTGCCTATAAATATATATAAGGACTGGCCAACCTTCCTTCTAAAAGCTATTAGTTGATGATTCCTAATAGTATCTCTAAGTGCCGACTCCTAGAGAAGCCTAGGTGCTGCTGATTCATAGTCTTATTTTCTTTTTCTTATTTTGCAGATCAATCCTGCATTACTTGGTATCAAAGTAGTTAGTCCCTCATCTAGAAGTAATCTGCACTTCCATGAAACTGCACAGAGACTGTAGATGCTGGGATAGTTGATGATGAGTGCAGGAGAGTGTGGTGAGAGAGGCAACTGCTGCCTTGTGCTATTTGTAGACATGGCTAGTTTGAAACCATTTAAGGCATTAATTTGAATGTTAGCATAAATTCACATTTTGGTAGTATGAAGTGGAGGGTGTGGTGGGGTGCACTACTTGAACAAGGCAATTCCTAAAGAAAAGACACTCTTGTCAGTTTTAGCTGTTAGGAGAGGTTTTGATTTGATTGGTGAATTTGATTTATTTGATCACATGTATTTAACATCTCAAAGGCAAAAGCCAAAAGCCCACCACATGCATGCTTTATTTATTAGTTGCAGCTGGCTTTTAGGGATGGTGGTCATTGTGCTGGTTTACAACAGTATTCTCCATTAACAATTGTCCTCTGTCAATAAGATAAATAGCTCTTATGTTTTTAATTCCTTTCGAGTGAGGTAGAGATAGAGGCGTAGAGCAATTACATCTAGTACTCTTTGAATAAAGACTTGGATAAGGAGTTTGGTCGAACAGGTTAAAATACAAAGGGTACCCTCACACCAAGAGGTCAACAAATCTGGTATATTTATTAATTATTGAGCCATGCATTGCTGGTTGCATTATAACCATATAAATTAGCTCAGCAGCCCTAAATACTGGGTCGGTCGAGTTTGATCTTAATTAATTTTCTGTTAGATATTTATGTTGGTTTAAATTTATATCAGAATTGTGTCCAACCACAATGGTGGTGGGTTGAGTAGGTGGTTTCAGGGTTGACTGATTAAGGAACCGTTCAACTTCATGATTGCAAAGAATGCATGATAAGGTGGTTTCAGAATTGCAAAGAATGCATGATTGCAAGGAACTGTTCAACCACAATCTAGGGAAAAAATACATTTTATTGAGACCCTCGTAGACATTTCAGGGTTGACTGATTAAGGAAGGGTAAGCTTGAAACAAATTCTGATTGATGACCCATATCGTGTTCATATCAATCATAAGGGGAGCATTATTTGAACTGCTTACACTGCCATAATCTTTAGTAGGTTTGCCAAGAATCAGCAGGCTTTCCTCTGAAAAAGTGAGTAAAATTGGAACTTGATCTGCTGGCTCACCACAGTCACCATGCCTCCTAGTTTGATCTGGTGTACAAGAACAACTTTGATACCACCTTACTAGAGAGATGGCATCTTATTGGCACTTGGTAACATGTGGATTTACTCTGTAGTCTGTACATAGTACTTAGTACCACAAAAGTGTGTGTGTGTGAGAGAGAGAGAGAGAGAGAGGAAAAGAAAAAGAAAAGTTCCCTATGATTTGCTTGGCTTCATGGAACCTCCACCAATGCTAATTTGCTACATTGCCCTTGACCTTCTGTCTTCTCTGTAAGGCCAAAAGGCCATTACCCAGTGTTGGTCTGTTATTGTATAAATAGAGGCAGAAAGGGCAGAAAAATAGAGGCCAAAAGGTAGAAAAACAAAGGCCAAAAGGCCAAAATCTGCCAATCAGTTTATAGATTGAGGGAGGACAACCAGGAGAGATTAAATGGTTGAGAACATGACAAGATAAACTCCCAGCCCAAAAAAAAAAAAAAAAAATCTAGTTCTCCTCTAGTAACCTCTTACCTGGTAAGGCAGTCAACAGACAACAACAAGGACATTAGCAGATTCTAATATCCAATAGAACTAGATAATCAGATTGGATTCTACCAACCTTTCTTCTCTCAGTAAATGTTTAATAGCTCGATAATTATGTTGCTCTCGATGATATCCTGTTTATTTATTTATTTTTAAAGATTGGATTCTAACAACCTCAATAAATGTTTATTTTTTTAAGATAACTTGCATTATAAACAGAAAGAGGAAGGGCATACATGGGAGGATGTAAGTGGGACCCACAAGTAATATCTGCATATTTGAATGTGTTATTAGGTCCCACACATAATATTAACACGTATGTAAGAAGAACCGATAAGCATGTTTGCCAAACGGTTTATCTATCTCTATGCCATCTATTATTAGATCCAAAGGTATAATATTATATCTAGTTTTTATTAACAAGATGCATTTGTTTTTTCAGGAAATTCTTAACATGGAGGGTATTGAAGATGTATACTTGGGATTTTGATGAAGATTTTGGACATTATAGAGCGAAATTATTTTTTGTTGGTTTTTGGACTATCCATTGTGGATCTATGATTTGAAAGTGGCAGTTGTATATATAAACATTTTATGATAAATTTGTTTTATATGAAAATGGTTTATTTGGTTAAATTTCATAATTATTTGATTTTTTAATTAAATATATAATATGCATTTGATTTAAAGGGCATGATGAAATTAATATTTATTGATACAGGTCCAATTACCATAGCAACATCTTTTTTATTGCTTCATTTTTATTATTTTTTAGCATGCATGTATGAATATGTTTAAACATTTAGTGTCGCTTGTAAATGCCACAAATCGTAAATGAATTGAATGATTAAAACTTTTTAGTGGCAATTATAAATGCCATTATACAGATAAATATTTTATGACATTTAAAAATGCCGCTTTTATGGTACCCTTATAATGGCACTTATAATTGCCACTATAGCGGTTGCTATTTAGTGGCACTATGAATTGCCACTAAATGTGTCAATAAATGCTATTATTAAATTTAAAAATAGCATTTGAAACTGCCACTAAAGGATGAATAAAGCACCACTAAAAATAGTTTTTATTGGCGTTTACATAAAGTGCCATTAAAATTTGGGTAAACGCTACTGAAAGTAAGTTTTATTGGCATTTATTTAAGTGCCGCTAAAAATAGGATAAACGCCACTAAAACTTTTACCAACTCAGGTATTGGTGGCATAATTTGAAAACGCCGCAATAGCCTTTAGTGGCATTTTTTTCTATCTTTAGTGGCATTACTTTTCTTGTAGTCCGATCTCCGCCCCATCCGGGTTGTGGCGTTTTACTAGTGATTGTCCTCTAAAAAATAGGTAAATTATAAATACCCTTTGTGTACTATGGGGTCAATGACAAAATGTCCACCTCAACTTTCCTTATTTTTTATTTCCTTGACTTTTTTTTCTCTTAACCCCATATTTAACTAAAAATACCTCCATTTTCTCCCAATGAGACCAGCTAAAATAACACGAATCGTTTCACGATAAAAAAGTTTTTTTAATTATTTATTCATTTCACTAACATCAATGTCTCTCTTCATATCAAAGTATAAAAATTATCCACTCATTTTTCCAATAAATAAAAAAAACTAAGCAAAAGCTAAATTTATATCTACTAAAAAGAAATTTAAACAGCTGAATCAAAGTTATTTTGGAAGTTTATGAAAGAACTAAGAGACATTTATCTTAAGGCTCCATTTGGAAGGAGTACAAATACAAAAATGTAGAGTGCAAAACCTTGTATTTTGTATTTTTTTTTGTACATTACATATTTGTGTTTGTACTCCTTCCAAATTGAGCCAAAGGCTACGTTTGTTTGGGGTGGAAAACCGAACTAGGGTAAACTTTACACCCTGGTTCGATTTTACATGCGTTTGGTAAACATGTAATTTTACACTGAAAATCGGTGTAAAATTTCATAATTTTATTTACATCGATAATCAATGTAATAAATACATCGAAATTATCGATGTAATAAATACATCGCTCATTATTCTCTCTCTTCTCCTTCTCTCTTATTCTTCTTCTTCTCCTTCTCCTTCTCTCTCCTTGTTCTTCTCCCTCCTAGTTTCATTCTCATCTATTCGTACCTATCATCGGTCTTTAACTTTCCCCCTTCTCCGATCAATCTTCAACTTGGGTACTCTGCTCAGCCTCCATGCCGCAAGCATCTTCACTGGTGTTGTAGATTTGTACCTCCTTCACCCAGGTTGGTACCAAATGACAACGAATTGGAACTCGCACCTTTTCCCAACAATGCAGTGGTAAACTGGGTTCGACCGACATTTCCACCATCGCAGAGCACCTAGGGTGGGACCTCATGGAGCTAGAGACGGAGAACAATGGGATCTGTCCACCCTGAGATTTTTTTGCTAGAGTTCCAGAGTTCCTAATAAGTTTTATGGTGATTTTTCTACTAGAGTTCCAGAGTTACCAGTGATTTTTCTCTTAAGGAAGAGTTATAGAGTTCCCGGTGATTTTTTTGCTAGAGTTTTAGAGTTCTAGAGTTCTTTGATGATTTTTCCACTCGAGGAAGAGTTCCAGAGTTCCAGAGTTCCTAGTGATTTTTTCGGCTAGGCTCCGTTTGGTTTGTGGGATGGGGATGAGAAAAAGGAATATTCCTTTTTTCTCTCATTTGTTTTGAGGGAAATAGAATGATGGGATGAGAAAAATGTGGGATGTCACAAGACTGATAGAGTTTTAGAGTTCCAGAGTTCTTTGATGGTTTTTTTGCTAGAGTTCCAGAGTTCTTGATGATTTTTTCTTCTTGAGGAAGAGTTCTAGAGTTCCTAGTGATTTTTTTTTTGCTAGGCTTCGTTTGGGTTGTGAGATGGGGATGAGAAAAAAAAGGAATATTCTTTTTTCTCTCATTTGTTTTGAGGGAGATAAAAGGATGGGATGAGGAAAATGTGGGATTTCAGATCCCAAAATCATGGATTTGGGGTCACATCAAAACCGTGCGATCCCACTGGAAAAGTTTGAGAAACCACTGTTACCATCGAAAGAACCATTGTTATTGGCCTCCTTCATCACCTGGAAAGGAACCAATGCGAGGGGCAGTGGTGATCTCCCTCCATCTTCCTCTTATCTCTTCTCCCTCACCTTCTTCCCGTCTTCACTAGATTTGCGGCGATTTGCGAGGGGCACTCCTATTCTTCCCGTATTCACCATATTTGTTTTCTCAACTCTCGTTGCTACAACTCATGGAGCTCTGTTCTTCAACTATTGGCAACTCTTATCGTTGCAACTCATGGAGATCTCGCTGTTGCAATTCATGGAGCTTTGTTCTTCAACTCTCGACAACTCTCACCGCTGCAACTCATGGAGATCTGCTTTCTCAGCTCCGATGAAACTCCGACGAATAACCAACCCGTTACAGTGTTTTTCCTATTATTTTCCCATATATAAAACCAAACAATGGAAAGATAAATTTTTACACTTTCCCTATCTCATATTTTCCCATCCCATTCAAATCTTTCCACAAACCAAACAGAGCCCTAGAGTTTATTGAAGCAAAATTGGTAACATCCTTGAGGAAGAGTTCCATAGCAAAAACAAAGTAGAAGCTTTTCACTTCATGGCGGCTTCATCTATCACTAAACTGGCGCCAACTTTTTCTTGGGTGTAAAACTGAATTTACACCTGAAACAAACACAGCCTAAAGTGAAAATTCAGGGATGTTTGTTACAAAGAAAAATTCGGGTATAGGAAGTATTTGTCATTAACTCCATGTCAAAGGGGTCTTTATGATTTACCAAAACAAAAAGTAACGACCGTATCCATTGCGTGCCTAAGGGGAGTTTCACATCGGCGACCCACAAGGGGAGTAGAGAGGGTAAAAACAAATTCGGAAATCATTTCAACAAGACTACAAATAAGTACTTGCACTTCCTCTTCTCTTTTTTGGCGGCTGCGATTCTTTTCTTCGAGCTTTTGTCACCTAAGTTCCACAATGACGCATAAACCCTAGTTTCTCTTCGCAGATATTTCAGCATAGCGATCAGTTTCAGAGTATTACCACTGATTAGTTTCAGAGTATCACCATTGATCAATTCCAGAGTATCACCATTAAGTAAATAAGCAAATAAATAAAAACCAGCCTCCAATGATGGAGGTTTCTCTGGGGCAAAAACAGAAGCACCACGAGTTCACATTATTATCCTTCTCTCTACTACCATCCTCTTCTTCACCTTCTTGTTCATCAGCAGTGGCTTGTTTCAGCACCGAGTGTGGAGCTACCAAGCTTCAGTTCCACCAAAAATCAGAATCTGCCGAGGTTGTTCACGTCGATATTTCTACCGCACAGGTTGGTTTCCTATTGTGTAATTCTCTGAAGTTGTTACGTGCCCGAAGTTCCTCTTAATAGAGGGTTTATTTAGTTACTTTCTATGGCCTCGAAAATCTGTTCAGCAATGGCGTTAACATGCACATTGTGATCGATGTGTTGTTTGTTTCAGCTTTTCAAGTTAGGCCCTGTCAAGTCCGTATGCATAAGCGAAAGTTCTGAAGGCAACAGGATGGTAAAGGTAGGCCAGCTATTTTAAGAATTAAGATATAAAAAATGTATTATCGAGTGGTAACTGGTAATCCGGGGCTCTAGCACAGTAGTACCGTTGTATGAAGTTTGTTCTTCCTTCTGATCCTTGTATATGATTTTGTTTACACTATTCTATTTGTATTGCATCTTTCTTATACTATATTTCATTTTCAACCGACAGTCTTATTCAAGGGGAATTACTCTTCGATTTAGAACAGAAGACGAGAGCAAAGCCTTCCATTGTGCATTTGAACAATGGAAGAGCAAAGCAGTTGATGCTAGTGCTGGTATCATACCTACTCCTAATTCCTTTGCCATTTTATTTGGTGCACAAATCATCACCATCATAATACGTTGTCAGACATAAAGTATTGATAAACATGTCACCAGAAATAAAGTGTGATACTTTATTTCCACATCTCATCTGTTGCTTCTTTGAACACTTAAAAAAATCTATTCTATCTCCTATTAAACGTGGAAGGTCATTACTATTTTGGTTCCTTTCCTGTAATGACTAAACATGTTATTAATCTTTTTACTGCCATCCCTCGGAAGAAGTTTTGGCTAATTTCTTTCTTAATGTAATCTGATATTTAAGGTAGTGAAGTTTGATTTGAAGATAAAGGAACTAATTATTTTAAAACTTTTTTTTTTTTTTAATTTGCTAAGATGTAGTGACTAAATGGGTTCAAGCTATTGCATATTCAGGTTTCAGGGCATGAATTGGGTAGAAACATATTCACTTTGACTTTTCATATGTTTTTTTCCTCATATTGTGATAGACTATTTCCTTAAGAAATATCCAGTCAAGCTGTTGGGAGTTTAGGACTACAGATTGCGTTATTGAACATGGAAAAACTTTAGGATATTTGACAATGCATGTTGCTTATTGCAAAATTCATTACTCACGGATTCTGGATTAACACACTTCAAGGAAGTTGGTTACCAATGGAAGTTTTATGGTCATATAACATGGGCATTTTATAGAAAGCTTTTTAAGCTTGACGGTCTCATAATATGCTAAGTATTGTGAACTGTTATTGTAAAGCATTATCTGACAGAGCTCATTTGTCTTGGCTGGTGAAAATTTTAGTTTTCTGCATTTTCTTTCTGAATTTGATTTCTTGTGTGCAATTTTCTAATGCAAATCAGATAATTTTTGGTTGAATGCATTTCTATCATAGAACTACAGTTGAATCTAACTTACAAGGATTGTAATTGCTTATTTTTTCCATTTCAGGAGCATGCTTAGAAAATGGAAAAGTTGTAACTTCTAAAAGCAAGTTTGACAGCAAAGTAGAGGCAGCTTCTGCTAAAATGTACTTCCATTACTATGGACAACTGCTGCATCAACAAAATATGTTACAGGATTATGTGAGAACAGGTTATACCATAAACCTGTAATTTTGTTGCTGCTCCCTTGGAGACTCGTGTGTATTCTATCTCAGTGAAACTGCATTGTTGTTCTTATGCTCTTAAGGTTAAAATGCAAATGTTTTCAGATTTATCGTCAGCATTTGTGGATAACATAGAAGAATACGGGTGTATGTGCAAAATATCCACCAAGAAAAATCTGTGTTGATCCAAGTAATGTTTCTATTGGCTTCAGGAACATATTATGCTGCTGTCATTGAGAATCGCACAGACTTTATTGGCCGTGTAGTGGTTGATGTGGGTGCAGGTAGTGGTATTCTGTCACTATTTGCTGCTCAGGTAAGTCCATGATGCTCTGTGCAAGAGCTTATGCCTGTTCCATGTATGTGCATCTCTATGTTTTATGCTGAAAACTTCAAAAGTTTTCTTTGGTACTGTTTCTGCATTAGGCTGGAGCAAAGCATGTTTATGCAGTGGAAGCATCTGAAATGGCAGAATATGCACAGAAGCTTATTGCTGGGAATCCATCGCTAGCTCAACGGATCACAGTAAGATTCAGTTTGCCACTTAGAATCAGAGCTAAATTTCAAGTTTTTAGGTAATGCCTTTATTGGTTCATATTCTCATTTTTTGTGGTTATTTTATTATCTATTGCAGGTGATCAAAGGCAAAGTTGAAGAAGTTGAATTGCCTGAGAAAGCAGACATTCTGATTTCTGAGCCAATGGGTAAGCTTACTGGTTTACAATTTGTTTGTCATTAGCAGGGAAAGGTGGTATTCTTTCTGGAAAAAAAAGTTTTGCTTTATCTAATGACAACTGGAGAGTTGTGTTGCGCACTCTACCTATCACAGCTAAGAGTGTCCAAATGAACCAAGGTTGAGATGAGAGCAAGGATGTTCTCAAAAGTACAAAGGGTACATCTAAGGTTGCACTTTTTATCTGGGAAACAAAGGAGTGACTGTAAACTAAATATTCAATATCATTATTTTCTTGCATAACTGTAGCCTATATTGATTTATTTGTGAAACTGCATCAATATCTTAAATTTAGAAAAGTTATTTTTTTACAAGTGCCTGACTTAGTCTCTTCTTTCTCTAATGAAATAAGAAAAAAAAGTTTTTAAAGTGTCAGGAACACTTGTCTAGCTTTAAAGTTTGGAGAAGCAGGATAGAAAGGAAATTAGGAATAGGAACCCATCCAAATACACTAGTAGCAATCAAGAGGCCTTCTGGTCCCTTTATGATTTGAATAATCACCACCATGATTAGTCTTTTCTTCTTTTTCCGATTAAATAAGGAACTGGTTCACCTTCGTCTTCTCAAAATGTTTTTGAAGGTACTTAACACATTCAGAAGAGTTAGAAGGATCAATGTGAACTAATTCATATTCAGCCCACAAGTCAAGGAACCCAACATAATACTCCTGTATCCTCTTATTTCCTTGAGAATAAACAAAGATTTCAGATTATATTTGATATTACCTTGACATGTTAGACTAACAATAATCTTCAGGTTAGTATACATCTCATAGGTTGTCCTCATTCTCCTCATAGGTACAACAACAGGAGGCACAATAGCACTAAGGATCCAAAGGAGGGATAAAAAATAGGAAGGTTTCAGGACTGCCGATCCAAAGGAGGGATAAAAAACCCTTCAAAAAGTAATCCAAAATTGAGCCAGGCAATAGATATGATAGATAACCCTACACCAAATCTGAAAACCTAAGCTGATTGGATCAACCAATTGGGAGAAAACTATTAAAATCCAACCTGTGAGGCGTCTTTTCCAGGTAGAACAACGGCTTCTTGGACTGATCAAAATAGTCTCCAGAGAGCTCTCAATCCAGCAACCGAAGATGGAATAAGAAACCCTTGAAACACTCTTCTAAACCCAAGAATCAAACTTCTTTCTCAGTAGATCGAATCGTCTGCTTTGATACCATGTCAACTTGGTGGTTCGAATAAGAGAGAAAACATATATTTCATGGGTGTCAAGAGAATGAATCGACCCCCACCCCCAAAGAGCCCTTTATATATATAAATATATGTACAATTGCAAAAAATCCCTTACAGGGCTAAAGAGAAAGCAAACAAAGAAATAAAGAGTATATAAAGTACAATAGGGACTATGATAGTATAGCACATCATTAGGATTCACAATTTTTTGGTGAAGATCAAATCTGTTTTTCTAGGGTTTTGTTCCCTTCTCTTGTTCGATTTCTCTGAGAACTCTCCTTTTTTGGACTGTCAAAAGTTTGATGGCACCAACTATGCCCTGTGGGAATTTCATTTCTAGTTTTATGTTGATGGAAAAGGGCTGTGAGGGTGTATTGATGGAACCCCCACCAAGCTTGAGAAAACTGATGCAAAGGGGGTTGCAATCTTGGAGGATTAATAATACTTCCAGATTGCATTCTGGAAAAGGTTTATCAACAGTCTAACATCTCAAGGCAGTACCAGATCAAAGCTGAGAAATTTTCATACAGCTAGGGTAAAAGGAAAATTTAGGAGTATGCTGGTTTTTACAATCTTTGGATAGAGTATGAACTTGTTCATACTTGTGAGATATCTTCAACTTGCTGTATCAAGGCACTAAAGGAACACTTTGATAGGAGAAAAGTAATGCACTTTCTGATGCATCTCCGTCCTGAATATGAAATAATAATATCAAATATTCTTTGTAGGGATACTGTACCGACCCTTGACACTATCCTTGGTGATTTGCTTTGGGAAGAAACTAGGATGATCACTTAGTCGGCAATGAATGCAAAGATTGATGGAGTGGAGGATATGTTTTTAGCAGCAGATAAGTCCAAATCAAAGGACTTATCCAAAGTACAATGTTATGAATGAAAGGAATTTGGGCATGTGATATCTCACTACGGAAAGAAGAATACTTGTACTTGATGCAAGAAACATGGATATATTATTACTGAATGTCCTACTAGGCCATCTAAGGGAAACCGATTTGGAGCAAAGCAAATCAGCATAGGGTTTACCAGACTATTGTTGGGGGATGCGATGATGCTTTATCTTCCATTGATCAGACAAAGAGTGACACTGCTAATGTTACGATTGAAGATAAGATTCAATAGCTTATGTCCTCAACAATTTCCTCTGCCTTTTCTGCTTTTGGCTCCTCAACAAAATTGAGTTGTTGAACACAAGAATAGCCATATTTTGAGTGATGTTAGAACCCTTCTTTAGATTCGCATGCTCTAGCAACCTTCTGGGTGGAGGCGGCCAGCACTGTTGTGCATTTCATTAACCTTCTTCCATCTTGGTAACCTGTCTCCACATCGGTCCCTCTTTAGAACTCCTAATGTTCCTATGCTTCATATGTTTGGTTGCATATGCTTTGCACATCTTCCTCATGAGTGTACTAAGCTATCTGTTCAGTCTGCCTTTAGTGCTTTTTTGGGATATAGCCTTGATCATAAAGGGTTTGCTTGTTATGATTTGAAATCTCATCGGACTATGATCTCTCATAATGTATTTTCCTTGAAAATCTTTCATTTTTTTTAGCATATCACCAACATTTCTACTCCTTCAGTGTTCATTTTGCAACATTTTGAGCCTACAGGTACTTTAGAAGCACCATCTCTTAGTTGCTGCATCAAACATATTTCAGGAAGTGGATATTTTCTCTAGTTCCTACGATCCCCACCTCTCCTCCTCCTCTAGGGCATGATACCTCATTTACACTAACTCCTGTAAATATACTATCATTTCCTGTTACTATTGCTACTCCACCTATTGACATTCCTACCTTACGACACACTACTAGAATTTCTAGACCACCTTACTGCTATGGTTTTCCGCTGACCATAGTTCCTTCTATGTTGTATTGTCTACCATAGATATTCACAGGTCCTACCAACAAGCTATAGTTCACATTCACTGAAGAGAGTCCATGGATTTTGAGATAGATTCTCTTCTTGTGAATGATTCTTGGGAGTTAATTCCTCCTCCTCTTAATGCTTCAGTCATAGGCAGTCGGTGGGTGTACTTAGTTAAGCTGAAGTCTGATGGTAGTCTTAACAGATAGTGTATAATGAGACTTTTGCGCTAGTTTCCAAGATGACCACAGTTCATCCTCTCCTTACTATTTTTGCAGTGAAAAGTTGGGTCATTCATCAAATGGATAAAATGTTTTCCTGCATGGGGATTTCAAACAGGCTCCCCATGTCTGGTTTTCAGAGGTTTAAATCAATTATTATTTGATGCTGGTTTCATTTAGAGTTCATGAGATTACTCACTCTTCACCTCACAACGCCCTCAAGGTATTACTCTATTGCTGCTTTATGTTGATGATGTTCTCATAACTGGAGATGACCGAGATGACATATATTATCTGCTGAAACACCTTCTCAGTCAGTCCTTCATGATGAAGGATCTGGGACCAGTGACATTTTCTGGCTTGGAAGTTCATCATAATTCCAGTGGTTACTTTTTTAATTTGTAGAAGTATGCCACTTGCTTGGACATCTTATGCTGTCCAAATTCCTGGGTGACTCTTATTTCCTGGAGATGTAAGAAGCAACAAACAGTCTCTAAGTCATTTACTGAAGCAGAATATCGAGCCATTTCTTCAACATGCAGTGAAATCATTTGGCTTCAGTCACTCCTATGTGACTTCAATATCAAGCCATGTCTTCTAATCCTGTTTTTCATGAGAGTATGAAGCATATTGAAGTGGATTGTCATTTTATTCAGGAACTCCTCACTATTTGCTGCATTTCACTTCCTCATGTATCTTCCAACCTTCAGTTGGTGGACATTTTCACAAAAGATACTAGAGCCAGACATACCTTTCTCATGGGCAAACTAATGCTAGTGTCTCTACATCAATTTGAGGGGGAGTGTAGATATTAGGGATAGTGAGGGTTGAAGTTATAATTTTACCTCTTATTGTATATATTCTTTCATTCTTTTATTTTGTATCATACTTCTTGTATTTTTGTGACAGAATTGTCCTTTTACTTCACATTAATATAAATACTATTCTTTGGTGTAGTCTATCCATTAGACTCATCCCAAATCTTTTCATCTTTTTTGGTTCGAATTGCACTGCCAACCACCAGATAGAGGGTGGATGAAGGTGAAGTTTGAAGATAGCAGTTTGGGCAAGCCTGGGCCTTCTGGAATTGGGTGTGTAATAACAGATGAAAATTGAACGATAAGGGCAATGCATTCAGCTCTAATAGGTGAAGGAGATTCAGTTAGGGTAGAAGTAATGACAATAGTTTTTGGGGTGCACAAGGTTAGAGAAATGGGAGTGGAAAGTCTGGTCATTGAAGGTGAACCACTGAATCAAAAGTAGAGATTGGTTGGCTAGTGAAGAACAAAAGTGCATCATGGAGCTTCAGAAATGAAATCAGAAGATTTAATTGATATTCAAGAGAAATGCAGATTGAAATTCGATGGGTGCAAAGGTCAGCGAATAGTTTAACTGATGGGTTGGCAAAGCAAGGGGCAAGTAGGCAATAATTGTTTAGGCCTCAAATGTAAGATTGGGGAAGGGGTGAGATAGTGGGGACTATGTCATGTTAGATTTTTGTTTGTAATTCACAACCTGTTGTTGTACTTTCTCTTTAATTAATGAATGGATTCATCTTACTGATCCAAAAAAAAAAAAAAGAGTAGTAGGAGTGATTCACTCATGGTTGGTGAATCACAAACTTTTTATAGTGAGGAGTTACAATTTTTTTTTTTGAATATGGAAATCTTTTTGTAAACATAAGGACTGATGATACAGTGAATACTTTTATAGTTTGTATATTTCCAATGTACAGTGCCTAGTTGTACAATGGCTATTCTGTTTCACTTTTGATCGATACAATACCTTTTCAAAAACCAAAAGTTTACATGTGAACATTATCTACGTCTTACTATACACAAAAAATTTAATATCAAACAAATATTAATGTTTTTTTATGTTTTTCTAATTAGGTACTTTATTGGTCAATGAAAGAATGCTGGAATCGTATGTGATTGCAAGAGATCGATTCCTTGTCCCTAAGGGGAAAATGTTTCCAACAATAGGAAGGTAACATGCAGCCACTGTATGTACGTCTATGCTTCTTGAATTTTTTCTATTATGTGCTTTTCAAAATTTTCATTTGTTGGCTTCTCAATTTCCTTTTCTTTTGGTTATAATCAAGCCTTTCTTTTATCTACTAATCCCAAAACATTGGTAGCATTGTTATTGTTTATCAAAGCTGAAAAACATTAGTAGCAGTATTTACTCTAACTGACTTATATTATATGCTTTTTTCCCCTTTAGATTGCACTGTTGTTGTATCGTATACCATTAAATGTTCAAGTTTGAATTGCAAATAAGATAGTGAAAATCATTTGAAGGAACCTAAGAATAGCTTCAATTGGTGATAAAATGAGGGAAAGTAGACTAAGATGGTTTGGTCATGTACAGACAAGTGATCTGTTACAAGTTGAAGGGGCTAGAAGAGTCGGGTCTGACCAAAAAGGACATGGACTGAAGTTGTAAGAGATGATTTAAGGGCTCATAATTAAACAAAGAATATAATACTCAACAGAACAAAATGGCAAAACAGGATTCTTCTAGTTTTTTTTGCTTAATAAAACAGGATTCTTCTAGTTGCTACACATGGTTGGGACAAGGCTTAAATGATGATGATGATGATAATGAAAAATATCTGCTCTCCAACTCAAACCTGTGTTCTCGTGCATGTTATCCCAATATCTTACCATTTTCCCCCAAGCAATTGGCCCTTCTTTTAACTACTTAAATGTGCATTTGCAAAAAGAGGTTTTCTTTCAAATGATAGACACAATCACACAAAATATATTTGTTCAGATTGAGGCTGTGATCCTTCACCATACCCAGAGTTTGCCTTTCAAAATTTGTTCCATTATATGTGCATAGTACTTCTATCAGTGTCATCATAAGGAATTTCTTACTTTTGCTTTTTGTTTTTTTCCTTCTTTTTTAATTTGCAAAAATATATTTTTAGTTTGACAGAAAAAATCTCTTAGTAGAGCATAACGGCAGGGCATGATTCGTGTAGCCAACCCTAAATAGTTGAGTTTATATTTTTAAAAAGTGTTGACTCAGTTTATAGTGGGATTTGTAGAGGATAAGGTATATAAAAGAATGTCTCAAAAAAAAAACCTAACTCCATAATTGGCTAATAGCTTCAGAGAACCACCTGATATTATTGATCAGGGTATACAGAAGCAAACAACCAGACTTGGATACCCTCATATCATGGTACTTAGCCAAATTGTTGGCAACTTTATTAGTATATTTTGGCACTAAATTTCTAGGTAATCAATTTTGTCATTCTTGCCTCCGCTCTATTAGGAAATATTTTCTTCCCTAATTTTTGAAGTTTCTTTGGTTTTACCTTCTTTTCTTTATTTTATCTTTACCTATTTTCTTGATAAACACTTGAAAGAAGAAGGAGAACTGTTTACTATATTACAGGTTTGAAGAGAAGAAAAGAGAGAGAGAGAGAGAGAGAGAAAAAAAGAGTGAAGAGAGGAGAAAAGAAAGAAGGGGTTCAGTGGTGAATGATTTGCTGCCCCATACACTCCTTTATTTATAGCTTTTAGGATCCTTATAAGAATAGGAAATAAACAAAAAGTAGAAACAACAAGGCCAGCCAACCCAACTTAACAGAAATTAGAAACTACTGATAAAAGAAATTAGAAACAACTAGGTGTGGGTATGAAACCACACACTCTAGAGCCTGAGTGTGGGTATGGAACCCCACACTTGTGGCTAACCAACTGTTTCTTCACTCCCCCTCAAGTTGGGAGTAGATATTTGTCATGCCCAACTTGCGTAGATGTGTCTCCAATTTGCCTTTTGTGACTGCTTTGGTGAAGAGATCAACTAACTGCATGTTCGAGGCAATGTAAGGAAGGCATACTTCTTGAGATGCGACTCGCTCTCGGATAAAATGTCTGTCAACCTCGATATGCTTAGTCCTGTCATGCTGTATTGGGTTGTGGGAAATATTAATTGCAACTTGATTATCACAATACAACATCAAAGGCTTCTCATAATCAACCTCCAACTCATTAAGCAAGGATTTCAGCCATAACACTTTTGCAACACCATTGGCCATGGATCTGTATTCCGCTTCTGCACTGGAGCGAGCAACACCATTTTGTTTCTTGCTTCTCCAGGAAACATGATTTCCCCCACAAATGCACAATATCCAGAGGTGGACCTCCTATCATCAACACATCCAGCCCAATCCGCATCTGTATACACTTCTATTTTCATATGACTATTATTCTTGAAGAGTATACTTCTCCCTGGACATCTCTTTAAGTAGGCAAGGATCCTTTCTACTGCAAGGAGATGGGTGGTCCTAGGAGAATGCATGTATTGACTGACAACAGTGACGGCATAAGAAATATCTGGTCGGGTTAGATAGAGATAAAGAAGTTTCCCAACCAGCCTTTGGTACATAGCCCTGTCCTCGAGGAGTTTTCCACTTTTTACACTTGTCTTATGGTTAGGCTCAATGGGAGTATCAACAGGTTTCACTCTTAACTTGCTAGTTTCTTCTAATAAGTCCAGAACATACTTCCTTTAGGAGATGAAAATGCCATGCTTAGATCGAGTTACCTCAATTCCTAGGAAATAGTGTAACTTTCCTAGGAATTTGAAATTCCTAGGTCTTTGACTTCAAATTCCTTGTGAAGGTGCTATTTAAGGGTTTCAATTTCACTAGTGTCACTTCCTGTTATCACAATGTCATCTACATAGACTGCAAGTAGAGTTAGGGAATGACCTGTCTTAAAGAAGAGAGTGTGATCTGACTGAGCCTGTATGTATTTGAATTTGTCCAAAGCCAGTCTAAACCTATCAAACCAAGCTCTCGAGGATTGTTTCAACTCGTACAAGGCCTTCTTCAAAAGGCAAACTTTCTTTCCTGCTTCTGTACTATAAAAACCAGGGGTAACTCCATGTATACTTCCTCTTGCAAGTCTCCGTTGAGGAAGATATTCTTAACATCTAGCTGAAATAGTGACCATGAGAAGTTTGCAGCAATGGATAGAAGAACTCTGATAATGTTCATTTTTGCAATAGGTGCAAAGGTTTCTGTATAGTCTATGCCATAAGTTTGTGTGAATCCCTTTGCAACCAATCTGGGCTTATACCTTTCTATAGTATCATCAACATTATATTTCACAGTAAACAGCCATGTGCATCCAACAGGTTTCTTCCCTTCAGGCTGGTTAATTAGTTCCCATGTGTTGTTCTTGACAAGAACATCCATCTCTACTTGCGTTGCTTCCTTCCATTCAGGTATCAAAAGAGCTTCTTGCACTTTTCTGGGTAAGATTCTGAGAGACAATTATAGGAAAGGAACTTGGAGGTGCAATGGGCAGTGGATGAGGTGCAACGACGCTTTCCTTTACGAATAGCTATTGGAAGATCAAGGTCATCTGTCGGTGAAGGTTGAACCTCTGTAATAGTGAGATCAACAGTGGGAGCAGTAGTAGTGTTTGGATCTGGAGTTGTAGAAGATGTTGGAATTGGCCTGGATTGTTGTTTAGTATGAGAATCAACCTACCTCCACCACTTTCTGTGATACACTCTTGGAGCTGAAACTGAAATCCCTTCCTCATTATTCTCTCCCTGAGGAGAAGCCTTATGATAGTAGGGCATATTCTCAAAGAAGGTGACATCCATGGATACAAAGCGCTTCCTTGAAATTGGCTCATAACAGCAATATCCCTTTTGATTTTGTGCATACCCAAGGAAAATACACTTAGTGGCTTTGGGATAGTAGGAATCTATTGAATTAAAAAATATGAAAGAAAGTAGTATCTTGAAGAGAGAAGGAAGAGAGAAGGAGAAGAAGAGAAGTTGAAAAGAAAAGAGAGCAATAATCTGACCGCCCCCGTCACTTATTATTTATACTAAAATAATAGAACAATACAGAGAACTATGCCCTTATAGGGCGGCAAAACATAAAACAACATATATAACACTCAGAAACATAATAAAAAATTGGACTCACATAACTACTGTGGTCCCCACCTCCTATCTAACAACTAACATAAAACATCTACTAAAAAAAACAACATAAAACTAATTAATCTTCAACACTCCCCCTCAAGTTGGGAGTAAATGTCACACATTCCCAACTTGCATAGATCATGTTCAAGCTTGTTCCTTGCCACCCCTTTAGTAAGAACATCAGCCATGCAGTTAGCTGATCTTTTATTATTTGGTTTAAAAGACTGTTTACAATGCTTTCCTAACTGACAACTCTCACATTCCAAAGTAGATAATTGAACAGACTCAAACAACTTTTGGAAAAGACATTTCAAAGAACTAAAAGAAAGATGTCCCAAGCGATTGTGCCAAAGCATAATCTGGTTCACTGACTCTGACCCACTACTACCGCTGCTACTAACATGATGGCCCTTATGTCTCGGAATCTCATCCAGAACGTAGACTCCATTCACCTTACGATCACTCCCAATCATCTTCTTTGACTCCATATCTTGTAAAACACAATTACCAGGAAGAAAGGTCATTGAACAATTCAATTTTTTTGTCAAAGAACTAATAAGCAGTAGGTTGGTATGAAGTCTAGGGACATGTAAAACAGAAGACAGAGTTATATCATTGGTCACTCTAACTGTCCCCTTCCCAGCAATGGGCATATGTGAATTATTTGCTGTAGAGACTCTATCTCTACCAGAGCACAACTGATAGGAATTGAAAATGGTAGGGGCATTAGTCATATGCTCAGATGCTCCCAAGTCTATAATCCAGGGAGGTCCCTCCTTACCTGAAGTGGATGCAAGATTTGCAGTTGCATATGAACTACCTGTATGTGCAAAGGAAGTGGTGTAGTTGGCTCCTGCATTCTGCTGTCCATCTGGAAGACTAGAGTTGGGTGAATCTTTCTTATTCATAAGATGTCCAAACCTCTCCAATTTTGTTCTCACTGCTGCGACTGCAATGGGTTCCCAATCAGTTTGGGAGAGAGGGGCTGAAGAGTCTCCTGTAGTGGCTGCATTTGCATTTCCCTT